TGGAGGTGATTTTAAACTCTAAACGCTTCACTTTTCTTCTGAAATTAAATAAGCCGAGCGTAAGCAGAGTAACAGACTTTTGAGGACGCTGCTGTACATCAAATTTAGGACAGGAAACAAATCCATTCACAGGAAAAGTAAATCCCATCTGCAGTCAGACTCTCTACCCTTCCTCCACTTTGGGTCTCGAGTCTTTCCGAGTCATGAGACTCAAGGTCGAGTCGCGAGACTCTTGATTTTGTCGAGTCTCAAGTCATCAAATTTGTGACTCGAGTCGGACTCAAGTCCAAGTCATATGACTCTCTATAAAACTCTTAACTGTATTTCCTCGGCTACCTTCTGGTCCTGTTTGATTAGCATCACTGATGTGACTTTGCTGTGTGACTGAAGTCAAAATCAAAACCCAAAGTCAAATAAAAACTCTATAATTTGCTGTTTTATTTATGCTTTTCTATAATGCTGACGATTCCTCAATGGCAGTCACTATGTTGGGAAAGAAAACTGAAAGAGCCTTAGAGGCCTAATTTAATTTTAAACAGCTTGCCTAATAATATTAAATATTAAACTTAAACAGATGTAGAATTATGAAAATACAATACCTCGAGAATTCCCAAAGTCGGATAAATTGGAATTCCAGGGCCTCCACTATAGTGATGGAAACACTTGGTTTTATATGTAAAGCATCCTTCCAAAAGGACGTCCACCCAACGTGTCTCCAGCAGGGGGTGCTGTTAGCACGCAAGCCACTTGAGTGTTCATCCTTTAGAGAACAAACAGCCATCAACTTCAGCGTTTTGTAACAAACTGGCTTTATTTTATCTACTCTGGAACTAGAAACAATCAGACTGAATGTGCCCAAGGTCACCTCTGGCTAAACTTCAGAAACCACTTTGTTTTGTTGATTAACTGACCAGCACAAAACAGAGTTTTACAGTAATACTGTTAAAAACATCATTGTCACCTGACACTGATAGTGTATCAACTTGACATCAAAGCTGGTAAATTTAACCTTCATGACAAATGAGGACTTTTGAAATAAGAGTTTATAAACAATTCTGTAGGATTTTCTTAGTTGTCATGAAGGGCTTATATAGGTGTCATGTAGCCTTATAAACACTTCTACAGTAAAGTGAGACCTGCAACCTGTGATTCTCATACAGGCAGTAACATGAATGTGAGCCGCTGTCTAGTGGATCTGTGTAACAGGACTGAAGGTGTTAAGATGAAATGATGGCAACATGAAATGCTTTGTTATGTTTTTTTCTTTTCTGCAGTGAAGAAAGTGCAACAAACACTGCAGCATCCTGTGATAAACTTACCCTATTACCTCACCTCCCCATGGACATCTGCCTCTGTCCCAGTAGTACTGTACACATACAGCATGCTTAAAACAGGTTTTTGGTTTGTTTGTTTATTTTGTTTATTTACTCTCAACTGTGTAGCACTGTGGAGCTGCAGTACTGCGTACTTCTGTAACAGTTCACTGCCATCTTGTGGACGTAAATGAAATTACTGTAGTGTTTGTAAGAAAGGAAACACAAAAAGATGCTGTTTTTAGGTAAACAAAAAGAAGTGAGACACTTTAATTAAACTTTTAAATTAATTAAAAGTAACTTCTACTTAATAATGTTGACCAAAAGGTGGTCATGAAGCTTGGTCCACCCCAAAAGGAATATAATGGCTATAGAAGGGCTAGACATAGTCCAAGAAGCACTGTCAAAAATATACATACATACATGTATACATGTGTGTGTGTGTGTGTGTATATATATATATATATATATATATATATATATATATATATATATATATATGTAAGTATTTATGTATATGTATGTATTTATATGTTTCTATGTATATGTATATATACGTAGAAACCATTTTTAACACCCACCCAAAGTGGTCATGAAGCTTCAACCACAGGAAGATGCAAAAAAGTATATATATATATATATATATATATATATATATATATATATGAACACTTTTAATGGTCAAAATCCAATTTCCATCACAAAATATAAAAAAGTGGTCATGAAGCTTGGTCCAATCCAACAGGAAGATGCAAAATATAAATAAATATATATATATATATATATATATATATATATATATATATATATAAGAAACACTCTTAATGGCCAAAATCCAGGGACAACATGGTGTAGGCTTTTTCGCATTTGATCAATTTCCATCACAAAATATTACATGAGACAGTCCCAAATGTCACGTTATTTTCAGGGCACCCTGGGCTACTCAGATATGTCATTATTTCACATGTAAATGCTTAGAGAATTCTGGTATCTTCATGAATTTGACCATTTTTTTTTCTGATGAAAAAATGACTTAGCACTTCCTAAATTTTTGTACATGTTCACTGATACAGACACTGAGAACCTCAGATAGCTTCTCATTAACTGTTAGTGAAACTACATTTACCAGCGGGGATAGAAAACTCATGGCTAGCTTGACCACAAACTCTGCTCTCTGCCTGCTTGTTTGACTCACAGTTTCTTTTGTCTTCATGCAGCACTGCCAGAATTGTGGGTTTCTCAATAAATAGTTTGAAAGTTATATAAATTAAACATTTTTGTCTGGGCTACTATATAAATGTACTGTGGACACAGAAAAAGGTTTGAAAATGAATTGTAATGGACTGTAAATTGATGCAAGTGTTGAATAGTTGACAACATAAAGACACACAGACACTGACAGTAAGAGAAGTGGCTCATTTGGTGGCTTACCATTCTAAATCCGAAGGAAGGCATACATGCTTGGACACATGTTGGATGAGTTTCAGCTTCTGATGGGTTTTAATTAAACTTTCAGCTGTCTGTTCTGTTTCAGTCTGCAGGGCACGATATCATATGTAACTACCACAACTAACATGAGAAGTGTGAGGTTTATTTCACCTTTTAATGCTGAAAGGTTACATGGTAAATGCAAGTACTACTAAACTGCTTCAGGAAGTACATGTCTATGTGATGCCTGTGTGTGGAATTACTAATTGTCACATGTTGGTCTAGATAACCCTACAGGGGCGAGTGAGTAGACCATCAAAACAAAAGACACTATAAACAAAGGGAAGGCAAATATTTGCCTTCAAATGTACTTAAGTATCGAAAATAAAAGTACTAAAAGATTAATTATGGCTTTAATATCCTATTAGCATTTCTGTAAGAAGACTCTTGCTTCACTAACTCATTTTAGGTGATAATACTCCAGCGTCACTCTTGCTAAACCAGTCTTTTAATAGAATGTCATTAATTAGTCTGATGTAGAGATGAAACGATATTAAAATTTCATATCACGATTATCATGACCAAAATTATCACGATTATCGGTATTATCGCGGTATTGTTCAAATGTGTGAGTAAAATAAATAAATAAATAAATAAATACTGATATACAAACTGAAACTCATTTCACCAACTTTTATATTAACACAAATAGAATTGGCAGCAATATGCACTTTTTGTTTGAATAAAAATTAAAACAAAATATAGTCAATATATTTGTAGTGTTACTTTTGTATTACTTACAATACTTGTAATACTCTGTAAACAAAAGAATAGCAAATGTATTAATATTACTGTTATTATTATTATTATTATTATTATTATTATTATTACTATAATTATTATTATTATTATTATTATTATTATTATTAATTACAATAACTAGGGATTTCCCTGCAAAGAGAATTAAATCTGGACCAACTCTGAGGTGGGTCTTAATGGAAAGAAGTGCTGCACCCGGGTTTTGACGTTAAAAGTCTTATTTTATATGATTAACGAACCATAAACATAAGTTAAACCACACAGACCACGACATCTCTTCTATTTCGAAGTCCCACAGACCTCTCCGTTAAAGTTAACCTCGCATTCTCTAAAAAGGAGCGGGTGGTGGTCGCGAAGATGACTCGTAAGGTTTGATGCGTTGCCCCCTTTCGCCGCTACTTTCTTTCGGCCTGTTCTGCAGACAGGGTGATCATCTGCAGACAGGGTGGTCATCTTCAATTAACTTTCCTTCTGCATCCTTATAAAACCCAAAACACGACCAAACGTCAGACTTGGCTGAAATATCTCCGAGTCTCTGTCACTACATTCCGCCATGTTCTCCCCTCTCTCTCTCTCCCTCTCTCCCCCTCTACACGCACCCACACACACACACACACACACACACACAGAGCTGCATCTGAGAGATGATTCTGCCTTTGTTTGACTCTGTACAGCGAGTTTTTCGCGAGTTTTAACGAGACTTTAAAGTTCAAACGGTACTACTAACCGTCACTAATTTTACCGCGGTTAACCGTTAACCGGTAACCGTTTCATCTCTAGTCTGACACTGATGTCTATTAAAATTATCATAAGCACAAAACACTGAAGGCAAACAGTTTCCATTAAGTAGAACCGAGTGGCTCTGAATAACTTTTAGCAAACCAGTTTCAGTTTAATTTAGTTCATTACAGTTTATTTATTTGTAACTTAGTTACAAGTTTAAGTTTAATAGAAACTTGCTTTAAACTCAGGATCACAAATGAGTTTTCCTTTACTGTATTCCATCTGTAGGTCTCTGTTCATAAACATAAACTAGCAAAAACAAATTTACTATAAAATGAAATAATGTTTGTATAAATTCAGAAAAAAGACACGTCAGTCACGACTGCTTATGTGTACATATTTCTATACTGTGGTCTATTTACACAAAGTTAGGTTAGTTCATCATTTATGTTGAATAGACTCTCCCAGAATTTTACACTGCTGCACTGACGTTGAACCATGTGCTGCACTGGGTCGGTATGACCAACAGGTCAAAACAAGCTTAAAACACAGTGCGCGCTGTGCCCTGATTGGTGTTCTTTATTCATGATTCTTTCATTTTGACATGTTATGTTTTTATGCACACATAAACCAAAAGGAAAGACAGATTTCTCATAATGTAGTGGAGTAAAAAGTGAGATATTAGACTTTGAAATGTAGTGGAGTGAAAGTAAAAAGTTGCCCAAAATGGAAATACTTCAGTAAAGTACTGAAACATGAAAAAAAAACTACTTAAGTACAGTAACGAATTCCATTTACTTTGTTACTGTCCACCACTGAGTGAGAGAGCTTCTCTTCATTTTCCTACTCCTTTTATAGTTTAGCCCCCAGGAAGAACGTCACCCACAGGACACAGCCTTCCCCCAGCCTGGTCAGGGAGGACAGACAGACACACACAGGACAGTACTGGGCAATACACAACACAATAGCAAACTTCTTCAGGTTGAAAAGGTATGTTGATCTATGTACAGTGCTGTGAAAAAGTATTTGCCCCATTTGTGGATAATGACTCTCACTGGTGGTTTGCTGGAGTCCCAGAGCCTCAGCAATGGCTTTGTAACCCTTTCCAGACTGATAGATTTCAATGACTTTGTTTCTCATCTGCTAGCATGTGCTGCTTTTTGAGTCCTTCTAGCCTGATTCACATTGCCAGACAGGTATTTAATTAATGTTTAGATTCAACAGATCTGGCAGTAATCGTGCCTGGGTGTGGATAGTAAAACTGAACCCAATAGTCGACTGAATTTGGTTAACTGTTTAATTTAGGTGCAAAGGGGGTGATTACTTTTTCACACAGGGCCAGGTAGGGCTGAACAGCATTTTTCCTTCAATAAATGAAATCAAATCTTATCTTTGTCTAATATTAAAAGCAGTTTTTGATGATCTGAAACATTCAAGTGTGACAAATATGCAAGAATAGAAGAGATTAGGAAGGGGGCAGATACTTTTCCACAGAACCGTACATTTTCATATCGAATTCATAAATCATTCATAAATCATTAACTCTTGTGTTATTGTGAGGGTCAAAAATGACTCACCACTATGTTAAAATGATATTTTTTCATCTTAAAACTTGGTGACTTTTTCTAGACTGATGCATTAACATTAGACAAAGTGAAGCCTTTGTTCATATTTCCATGAAAGTACATCACCAGGACACAGAGAGTGTCTTAAGAGTCATTAAGAAAAGCATTTACGCATCATTAAAAACCACACATATACACACACAATGAGCAACTGACCTGTGGGCCTATATGGTTACAGAGAGTGGAGGAGCAGTCTTCAGTGCCACGATGCCACTGAATAAATGCAGTATTTCTGCTCTGTAAAGAGGGAAAACCCAGATATTCACATGGTTTTGATGGATGTCAGCCTGTTTCTTCATGCAAAATAGACTTTGAGGTTTAAAATTCAATGAAGTTTTTAATTAAATGCGGGTCATTTTTGACCCTTAGGATGAGGCGATTATATAGAATGTTACGACTACACAAGAGTTAAGCAAACTTATTATCATCTGTGTGTTTCATAAATGAAGCTCTGAAAAGCTCCTCTGACACAACATCCTTTGTAGAAAGTGCAGGAAACAGAAACAGACCAGCAACTTTCAGTTTCCATTCATTATAAGCCATGAATGTAGGCAGGACTGAACAACTCCTCCCATCAGTGCTTCCCCCGAGTCTGAATCTCAATATTCAGAAGCTCAAAAATGAAGTGAGATCCAGTACACTGAACCTCACAACCTCAAAAAGAATGTAAGTAAAACTAATACTACAAATACAACATATCAAATGATGAAATTTGGTTGTTTTTTGAAAAATATATGCCCATTTTGAATTTGACCGCAAACAGCATATTCCACAAAAGTTGGGACGGGGGCCTGTTTACCACTGTGTTTCATCACCTCTTCTGTAAGCGTTTGGGAACTGAGGAGACCAGTTGCTGTAGTTTTAAAAATGAAATGTTTTCCCATTCTTGTTTGAAACAGGATTTCAGCTGCTCATCAGTTCAGAGTCTCCTTTGTCATAATTTTCATTTCATAATGCACCAAATGTTTTCAGTGGTGACAGGTCTGGACTGCAGGCAGGCCAGTTTAGCACCCGGACTCTTTTAATACAGAGTAATGCTGTTGTAAAACATGCAGAATGTGGTTTTACATTGTCTTGCTGAAATAATCAAGGCCTTCCTTGAAAAAGACATCTGGGTGGCAGCACATGTTACCAAAACTTGTATATATCATTCAGCATTAATGGTGCCTTCACAGATGTGCAGGTAACCCATGCCATGTGCACTAATGCACCCCTATGCCATCATGAATACTGGCTTTTGAACTGTGCACTGATAACAAGCTGAGTGGTCTTTAGCCCAGAGGACACCGTGTCCATGTTTTCCAAAAAGAATTTCAAATGTTGATTCGTCGAACCACAAGACACGCCTTAAATGAGCTTGGGCCCAGAGAAGGTGGCAGCATTTCTGGATCCTGTTTATAATTGGTTTCTTCTTTGCGTTTTAGAGTTTTAACTTGCATTTGTGGATGCAGTGACACACTGTCGTCGCAACCAAGAGCTGTCTCTTTTTGCCCAGGGTCTGGACATTTATAAGTAACTCTAATATTATCTATGCTATTGCTCTAATAACTATCTGTAATCTAATATCTTCAAAAAGAATTAAAAGAATCTAAGAATATCAACAAAAATGCAAAAAGACTTCAGCCAGAGTTCTTGTGGAATGAAAGTAAAGGCCTTCGCTTTATTTAAGCACCAAATGGCAAGATGGTTCCTGGTCAACCACAATGCAAAGAACATCTCAAAACATCCCTTTTTTATTCCCCTCTGGGGTGATGAGGTAGTCTCCCCACCCCAGTTACACAATTCTATAAAATTTTAGTCCCATCATGTCCAAACCTTACACCTTAAAACCAAACGCATATTGTTTTGTTTTTTTTTTAACCTTGTTATAATGTACTGTAGATGATGAAAAGCAAAAGTTCTTTGCTATTTTATATTGAGAATTATTCTTGAATTTGATGATGCAGTCTTTCACAAAGTGGTGAACCCCTCCTCATCTTTATTTCTGAAAGACTCAGCCTCTCTGGGATGCTCTTTTTATACCCAATCATGTTACTGACCTGTTGCCAAATAACCACCAGGTGTTTTTTTAGCATTACACAACTTTACCAGCCTTTTGTTGCAGACACGGCCCTCACTAACCAGCACGAATTCATCCACCTGTGAGCAACCGTCAGGCAGCAATCCAGCTTCTCTCATATCAGCTCTCTTGCTTTTACCCTCATATTATAACAATAGGTTAACAGAAAGAACATGATTCACGCATTCGAACACTTATGATAGTAAGCATGCAACTCAATGTGACATTGAAAAATGACGGATAAATCAATAAAAAACGTGGCCGCCTTACGCTAATCATTTATCTTTACTCAAATATAAGCGACAGAGTGAACCACCATCAGAATTCTAACATTTCAGCTCACAGACACTCCAGACTAACAATTTCTGAAAAGGTATCTGAGCTGGCACCTGTTTTTAAGATGTTTATATTAAAAAATGACTAAATTTAGGAGGCGCTGAGTGAATTTTTGATCATAAATTAGCCAAATTCATAAAGTTATCAAGGTTCTTTTAGCATTTACCAGTCAAATAATGGCACATCTGAGTAAATAACAACACATGGCCTGTGTGACTCTCATTTAAATACTTTAAACTGTAACTGTAATTGTAAAAAACTGTAAAAAAAAAAATTACAGCATATGATTATAGCCAAGGTCACTAATAGGCGGACCGTAGTCCGAGTCCAGACCCAGACTCTGTCCTATGCGGATCTAGACCTATAACCGATAAACTGTGGGGACTATTTAATTTCGACGGGGGGGTCCTAATTTAATCAGTGTAGCTTTTCTAGCCTTTTTGGTACCGCTTTAGCAGCCCGGGAGACTCACAGACCAATCGCATGCATTGTAAATATCACATATGTAGCTACTCAGCCAATCAGACCTGTGCATTACGATGAGCACTGAGGCTCGAGTGAGTGACGCACACACAGGGGAGGGACGAGGCGAGAAACAGCAGTTGGAGAAGAAAGTGAGCCAGAGGAAAGTTATTTTACATGGTGCGCTAAAAAAAGAGAAAAGTGACTGATAATAAATTAATAAATATTGTTGAAATATGACTGAACTGTACCTTGTTTGATTTGATATTCAGTTGTTGACTACATAAGATGTTGATATACCTACTGGGCTACTTCAGTAAACAGTATATGGTACTGAATCATGATGCAAGTTAGACATTATGATGTTCTGGACCTTTGCTTGAGGAAATTTTCTCTAACTGGATTAATTATACCCCTTGATTCAAGGGTTCTAAGAGTTAAAGCTGGTTCTTATTGTGATTCTGAAGCTGGTTCTGCTTTTACTGGAGATACAGAGCAGCGTTTGCTTTTGTTTTTGTTAGTGGTTTAGCAAGCAAGCAAGAAAGGCAAAGAAAGGAAACACACAGAGATTTAGCTCTGTAATGAGTGACTGACCACAGATTACAGTGTTAACGGAGCAGCAGAGACTCCGGCAGGTCTAGATCTAACAGGGAAAACTAATTACCAAAGGCTTGACTATACAAGTAAGTTTTTAGCCTAGACTTAAAGACTGAGGCTGTGTCTGAGGCCCGAACATTAACAGGAAGATTATTCCAAAGCTGGGGGGCTTTGTATGAGAAGGCTCTCCCCTCTGATAATTCTAGGTACTAATCAGTGGTGGACAGTAACTAAGTAAATGTAATTCATTACTGTACTTAGTTAGAGAAATCTGCCGTTACTTGGTTTATGTATATAAAATGTATACTTGGTTGTGTATAAAATTATAACATGTCAAAACGAAAGAAGCACGAAGCAAGAACTCCAATCAGGGCACAGCGCGCACTTGGTTTTGAGCTTGTTTTGACCTATTGGTCTTACTGACCCAGTGCAAGCACACGGTTCAACGTCAGTGCAGCAGCGTAAAATTTTGGGAGAGTCTATTCAACATAAATGATGAACTAACCTAACTTTGTGTAAACAGACCACAATATAGAAATATGTACACATATGCAGTTGCATTTTATAGTAAACTTGTTTTGGCTGGTTTATGTTTATGAACAGAGACCTGCAGATGCAGTTTAGTAAAGGAAAACTCATTTGTGATCCTGAGTTTAAAGCAATTTTTTAATTTTTATTAAACTTAAACTTGTTTTGCAAATTGCAAACAAACTGTAACTTTGCTTGTTTGCAAAAAGTTATTTCAGAATCACTCAGTTCTGCCTAATGGAAACTGCCTTCACTGTTTTGTGCTTATCATAATTTACATCAGTGTCAGACTGATTAATGACATTCTATTAAAAGACTAGTTTACCAAGAGTGACACTGGAGTATTTTCACCTAAAATGAGTTCATGAAGCAAGAGTCTTGTTACAAAAATGATAATAGGACATTAGAGTTATGATTAATCTTTTAGTACTTTTACTTTTGATACTTAAGTACATTTGAAGGCACATGCTTTTGTACCTAAGTGGAGGTCTAAAGGGAGGAACTTCTACTTTTACTGAAGTAATATTTTACATTGGGTATCTCTACTTTAACTCAAGTACAGGATTTGTGTACTTCGTCCATCACTGGTACTAGTAGTAAGCCAGCACCTTGTGATCTAAGTAGGCGTGATGGTTCATAGTGAGAGAGAAGTTCACTCAGGTACTGAGGGGCGAGTCCGTTTAGAGCTTTATAAGTCAGTAAGAGAATTTTATAATCAATGCGAAATTTAACTGGTAACCAGTGTAAGGTTGATAAAACTGGGCTGATATGGTCAAATTTTCTGGTTCTAATAAGAACTCTGGCTGCAGCATTCTGGACTAGCTGAAGCTTGTTAAGGCTTTTTGCTGGAACATCCAGCCAGCAGGGCATTACAGTAATCTAGCCTTGAAGTAATAAATGCATGAACTAACTTTTCTGCATCCTGTAGAGATAATGCATTTCTTAATTTAGCAATATTGCGGAGATGCAGGAAGGCTGTTCTAGTAATATTAGTTATATGTGCGTCGAAGGACAGATCAGGGTCTATAATGACACCAAGGTTTTTTACAGATGAACGCAATTGAGAAACTATTAAGTTTAAGTGTAAAATTAGACAGTTTGTTTCTAGCTGCTTTTGGACCAAGAAGCAGGACCTCTGTTTTATCCGAGTTAAGCAGCAGAAAATTACTTGACATCCAGTCTTATGTCTTTAATACAGTCCTCAGTCTTGCTAAGTTTAATTTTATCATCCGGTTCGCTTGATATATATAACTGAGTGTCATCGGCATAACAGTGGAAATTTTATGCCGTATTTACTGATAATGGTGTCCAGTGGTAGCGTATATATTGTAAATAATATAGGTCCTAAAACAGAGCCTTGTGGAAACACCATACTTTACTTTTGCGAGGACAGATCATTCACTGTTTACATTAACAAGCTGAGCGATCAGTGAGGTAGGACCTGAACCAGGTCCTCCTGTTACCCCTACAAGGTTTTCTAGTCTATCTAGTAAGATAGCGTGATCTATTGTGTCAGATGCCACACTAAGATCGAGGAGTACTAGTAAAGATATATTTCCTTGGTCAGAGAATAATAAAAGATCAGTTACAATTTTTATTAGTGCTGTCTCTGTACTATCATGTGGCCTAAAACCATACTGAAATTTTTCATGTATTTGATTCCTATACAAAATCGGAGCTTAATTGTTTTGCTACCACTTTTTCCAAGATCTTAGATATAAAGGGGATATTTGAGAGGTCTATAATTTGATAGTTCGCAGGGGTCGAGGTTAGCTTTCTTAATCAGCGGTCTAATAACTGCTATTTTGAGAGTTTTTGGGATGTATCCAAGGCTAAGAGAGGAGTTTATTATTGACAGAATAGGCTTGGTTATTTCTGGCAAAATTGCCTTGAGTAAACCTGTAGGAATCGGATCTAACATGCAAGTAGATGATTTCGCGGAAAAATTTTAACTAATTCATTTTCTTGAAGTTAGGTAAAGTTTTGTTATTGTACTTGTTCGTTCTCTCAGAACACAGCTTTGCACGTGTTTTTGAATGAACTGGCTGCTTCATTTGCTAAAAGCAGATGATCCTCACTGTTCTTTTGCACTTGTTTAGAACCCTCGCTATGTGCGCTTGCTGGTATGTGCCGTTAGCACATAGCGGAAATCATGACTGTGTCCTCAGGTTGTGTGCCGGGAAACATCGCTCAGAGGTGTGTGGTATGTGGTGTGTGGTTGGTGGGTTTTTTTGTGCACGAGAACATTTTGTCTTACTTCTTTTGACTTCTTTTGCATGCTAGCCATGAGACTATGGCCCGATCTCACACTCTCACACCAAACTTCTTGAATCTAAGAATTCAAAGGAATCTCAAGCTCAAAACTAATTTTAAAAATATATTAGCATATAGTGGGGTCCAAAAGTATGAGACCGCTTCGAAAATGTTCGAAAATTTGGCTGAAATCAACAGAAATTTTACAGTTTTGAAAACTGGAGTGGAGTGGAGGAAGGGTAGAGAGTCTGACTTGTGAAGCATTTAGAGTTAAAAATCACCTCATAGGTTAGAAACAAGCAAAGGATCAAAAAGCCCTGACTCAGGGCTTAAACTCCAAAATCCAGGGATAACATGGTGTAGCCTTTTTAGCATTTTGGTCAATTTCCATCACAAAATATTACATGAGACAGTCCCAAATGTCACATTATTTTCAGGGCACCCTGGGCTACTCAGATATGTCATTATTTAAGTCCATTTGAAATTATTTTGATGACATCTTATTTTGAGTGGCCCCTTTTAGATGAAATAAACACTTGACAGACTCTCAGTAACAATATCAACATCATATCAGTGATGTAGCAGCGGTGAAGCACCTGAATACATCAGTAGATTATCAAGAGACTTTTAATCACACTGTAGAAAATGGTTCCTCAGATTAGCCTAAAAATGACTTCCTGCAGGAACAAGCAACTGAACTAGTTTAATTCATTCTGCTATAGTGAAACTACATTTACCAGCGGGGATAGAAAGCTCATGGCTAGCTTGACCACAAACTCTGCTCTCTGCTCTCTCTTCTTTTGTCTTCATGCAGCACTGCCAGAATTGTGGGTTTCTCAATAAATAGTTTGAAAGTTATATAAATTATACATTTTTGTCTGGGCTACTATATAAATGTGCTGTGGACACAGAAAAAGGTTTGAAAATGAATTGTAATGGATTGTAAATTGATGCAAGTGTTGAATAGTTGACAACATAAAGACACACAGACACTGACAGTAAGAGAAGTGGCTCATTTGGTGGCTTACCATTCTAAATCCGAAGGAAGGCATACATGCTTGGACACATGTTGGATGAGTTTCAGCTTCTGATGGTGTAACCCAGGTTGTAAAAGCCTAAATAAAACACGAGTTTATTAAAAAGAATTAAACATTAAACCATGAATAACTCATTCTTCTTTCTAAAAGAAGAGAACTGAGAGTAACAACTGTAAAATATTTCATTTATAAGCACTTCTGAGCCAGAACCAAGCTCAGTCTCTATGAAATGAGCTGAGAAAGTAAAATAAAATAAATAAGGACACAAATATTAGAAAAAAATAAACTTTATTCAGTTCATAAACATCCTTTTCACTGATTTGTGGAGATATTTCACATTATTGATCCAGCCAGCCAATAAGGTGACTAGTTATATGAACGTGAGGGTAAAGTACTGCTGGACTAAGTGCCGAACTTCCTTTTGGGTCCAGCCAGCAGCCAAAGCAGCGGGTTTCCCTGCAACAGAACCGAGATAAAAGCTAAAAGTTGGATTTACTCGATAAATACAGCGCTAGGATTGAGAAAAGCCTGAGTTTAGTTAAACCGCTCAGCGGTTGGACCTAAAAAGCGCTTCAGTGGCGAACGAGGAGGTTTATTTGCTGAAATAAGCGGATTCTCGCATCGCTCTGTGTTGTGTTGCTGATGCTATAGTCGGTTATGCTAAGCTAAGTTCGTATTGACACACACGCAGCGAGCTGAACACCAGCGGTAGAAATGTGTTTGAACGTGTTCTTCTTACTGTAGCAGTGAGACGGTGAACCGAGGCTGAGCTTGAGAGATCTGTCGAGTTTCATGGGGTTTATTTGAGTTTTCTGGCGCGTGTAGTCACAGCCTGTACTGCGCGTGGCCGAGAGAGGCGACGCCACGGCGCGCGCTGCAGAAGCGAACCGTTTCAGTGCCGCGCGAGGCGGTTTTCATTTCCGCTGTGTAGAAACTGAAAATACTGTAAATAAGTGCAGTTATTTGTTATAAACATTGGAAATACTGCAGATAACAGCAGCTATATGTGAATTACTTCAGTTAAAGTTTGTTCATGTTTATATGAACACTTGAAACACTTTGAAACTCGAATCTAACAGTGATTTATGACCTTATTATAGGTCAGGGTTTTTTTGCTAGAGTTGAAGTTGGATCTGTTCTCATTCGATGTTGAGCCACCCTGGAAAACTGACCCTAAAAAGTGATTCGCAAGCACAGTGGACATCATTTAAGATGTGAAGTCTCCCTTTTCTATTGAACTTGGCACTGAAGCCTCTCTCCAGAGCGGTAGGAGGAATACTTACCCTTTCTTTTTCACAGACTGGAACACACACATACACACACACTCACACACAAACACACAGACACACACACACACACACACGTGCAACCTGTGGAACACAGAGGAACACTGATGACACACACACGGAAAAAAGTTGATACTGAAATTGTAATTGCATTATACTATTTACTGTGAAACTGATTAGATTATATAGTTGAACTGACTGAAAACTGTGACTGAAGATATTATTGAATTTAAAATGAAAAATATCTTTATTTTTGTAAACTGGTCACATCTTAAAAAGGAGAAATTTAGAATTTGGTGTTTTATTTCCTACCTGGAGGAAATAAAGAAGTCGTAGCTTTACTAGCCTAATACGGATTCAAATTGAATTGTTTAATGCACGTTTGTGTTATTTAATTTTGTTCATTTCTTTACATACCTGTTTCTTTATTAAAAGGAAGCTTCCTTCAACTTCCAATCATAGTGCAGTGATGCAGCGTCGTCTCTTGGGTAGTGGTTTTCCCCGGCACTGTAGGCGATCCTGGAATCGCTCTGATTGTCCACAGTATCTTGGTGTTTCCTCTTTTGCTCACTCATTTAAACCCAAGGTTAATGATAGAAATTGCCTGCTGTGTTAGCGCTTTTAATTTACAACGCTCTATCCAAGCTAACACCTCACTGCTAGCTAGAATTTGTTACAGTGGGTTTTAATTCAACTTTCAGCTGTCCGTTCTGTTTCAGTCTGCAGGGCACGATATCATATGTAACTACCACAACTAACATGAGAAATGCGAGGTTTATTTCACCTTTTAATGCTGAAAGGTTACATGGTAAATGCAAGTACTACTAAGCTAGGTGTAGGTGTGGTTTAGGGTGTAGTTAACCCTACATGGGGCGAGTGAGTAGACAGGAAAAAGAAGACACTACAAACAAAGTGGCACTTACTCGCTTTCAGCAGCAGTGACAAGTACAAACACACTCAATCTACTAACACATTCAAGCTCTCAAGTCGTTGTTCTGTACCAGCTTTAAAACACACACAATATTACACAAACAGCAGTACAAATACTTAGAAATACACACAGGGTTATAGAGTCAGGGTTGGTCAGAGAGCTTCTCTTCTTTTTCCTGCCCCTGTTATAGTTTAGTCCCCAGGAAGAACGTCACCCACAGCACACAGCAGCCCCCAGCCTGGAAGGAGCTGCACTTCCGGTCAGGGAGGACAGACAGACACACACAGGACAGTACTGGGCAATACACAACACAATAGCAAACTTCTTCAGGTTGGAAAGGTATGTTGATCTATGTACAGTGCTGTGAAAAAGTATTTGACCCATTTGTGGATAATGACTCTCATTGGTGGTTTGCTGGAGTCCCAGAGCCTCAGCAATGGCTTTGTAACCCTTTCCAGACTGATAGATTTCAATGACTTTGTTTCTCATCTGTATCTGAACCTCTTTGGAACGTGCCAGCATGTGCTGCTTTTTGAGTCCTTCTAGCCTGATTCACATTGCCAGACAGGTATTTAATTAATGTTTAGATTCAACAGGTCTGGCAGTAATCGTGCCTGGGTGTGGATAGTGAAACTGAATCCAATAGTCGACTGAATTTGGTTAACTGTTTAATTTAGGTGCAAAGGGGGTGATTACTTTTTCACACAGGGCCAGGTAGGGCTGAACAGCATTTTTCCTTTAATAAATGAAACCAAATCTTATTTTTGTCTAATATTAAAATTAGTTTGATGATCTGAAACATTCAAGTGTGACAAATATGCAAGAATAGAAGAGATTAGGAAGGGGGCAGATACTTTTCCACAGAACCGTACATTTTCATATCAAATTCATAAATCATTTATAAACCATTAACTCTTGTGTTATTGTGAGGGTCAAAAATGACTCACCACTATGTTAAAATGATATTTTTTCATTTTAAGACTTTTTCTAGACTGATGCATTTACATCAAATTAAAAACCACACAGATACACACACACACACACACACACACACACACACCCACACATGCCTATATAGTTACAGAGAGTGGAGGAGCAGTCTTCAGTGCCACAATGCCACTGATTAAATGCAGTATTTCTGCTCTGTAAAGAGGGAAAACCCAGATACCCAGAATGATTTTTGATGGATGTCAGCTTGTTTCTTTATGCAAAATAGACTTGGGTTTTAAAATTCAATGAAGCTGCTTTATTTTAGGTTTTTAGTTAAATACGGGTCATTTTTGACCCTTAGGACGAGGGGATTATACAGAATGTTACGACTACACGAGTTAAGCAAACTCATCTGTGCGTTTCATAAATGAAGCTCCTCCCATCAGTGCTTCCTCCAGACTGAATCTCAATATTCAGAAGCTCAAAAATGAAGTGGAATAAGTAGATCCAGTACACTGAACCTCACAACCTCAAAAAGAATGTAAATGAAACTAATACTACAAATACAACATATCAAATGATGAAATTTGATTGTTTCTTGAAAAAAATAAATGCCCGTTTTGAACTTGATGCCAACAACACGTTCCAAAAAAGTTGGGACGGGGGCCTGTTTACCACTGTGTTTCACCACCTCTTCTTTTAACAGCAGTCTGTAAGCGTTTGGGTTTTGAGGAGACCAATTGCTGTAGTTTTGAAAGTGAAATGTTTTCTCATTTTTGTTTGATACAGGATTTCAGCTGCTCATCAGTTCAGAGTCTCTTTTGTTGTAGTTTTCATTTCATAATGCACCAAATGTTATCAGTGGTGACAGGTCTGGACTGCAGGCAGGCCAGTTTAGCACCTGGATTCTTTTACTAGAGAGCCATGCTGTTGTAATACATGCAGAATGTGGTTTGACATTGTCTTGCTGAAATAATCAAGGCCTTCCCTGAAAAAGACGTTGTCTGGATGGCAGCATATGTTACCAAAACATGTATATATCATTCAGCATTAATGGTGCCTTCACAGATGTGCCAGTCACCCATGCTGTGTGCGTTAGAACTGTGCACTGATAATAAGCTGAGTGGTCTTTAGCCCGGAGGACACAGTGTCCATGATTTGCAAAAAGAATTTCAAATGTTGATTTGTTTAACCACAGGACACTTTTCCATTTCGCCTCCGTCCATTTTAAATGAGCTCAGGCCCAGAGAAGTGGCAGCATTACTGGATCCTGTTTATATTTGGTTTCTTCTTTGTGTTTTAGAGTTTTACCTTGCATTTGTTTTCGCAACCAAGAGCTATCTCTTTTTGCCCAGGCTCTGGACATTTATAAGTAACTCCAGTATTATCTATTAATTACTATTGCTCTAATAGCTGTCTGTAATCTAATATCTTCAAAAAGAATTAAAAGAATCTAAGAATATCACCAAAAATGAAAAAGGCTAAAAAGGAATGCACAAAGACTTCAGCCAAAGTTCTTGTGGAATGAAAGTAAAGGCCTTCGCTTTATTTAAGCATCAAAGGGCAAGATCACCACAACCACAATGCAAAGAACATCTCAAAACATCCCTTTTTTATTACCCTCTGGGGTGATGAGGTAATCTCCCCACCCCAGTTACACAATTCCATACCATTTTAGACCCATCATGTCCAAACTTACACCTTTAAAACTAAATGCATATGATGTCTTTTTATAAAACCCACTCTGGTCTGACTCTTAGCAGATTGTTCTCTCCTCACAGGGCCCTCTTGCATAGCTCTTCATAGGGCATCTCACACAACCCTCCATGTACATACAAGAGTGGACTCAGCTATAACTTAAACTGTCATCTGGTCCAGCTCCCTTCTGTGGGCCTAGAAACTCTTTCCCCGTTAGAGAGTCCAACGCATACAGTCCATAGTCTGCTTCCCTATATTACCTTATTAGGAGGCTCTCTAGTCAGCCAATGTTTAGTTTATTGATTACTAATCAGGAATATTTTATTACATTTTTCCCATCACTGTGTTCACAGACAGTGGTTCTCAGAAGTGTTTCTGAGCCCATGCAGTGATTTCCACTACAGAATCATGTCTGTTTTTAATGCAGTGCTGCCTGAGGGCCCAAAGATCACAGCCAGCAAATACTGTTTTTTGGCCTTGTCTCTTGCATACAGAGATTTCTCCAGATTCTCTGAATCTTTTAATGATATTATGTACCGTAGATGATGAAAAGCAAAAGTTCTTTGCTATTTTGTGTTGAGAAACATTATTACTGAATTGTTGCACTACTTGATCATGCAGTCTTTCACAGAGTGGTGAACCCCTCCTCATCTTTACTTCTAAAAGACTGAGCTTCTCTGAGATGCTTTTTCAAACCCAATCACGTTATTGACCTGTTGCCAATCAACCACCTGGTGTTTTTTAGCATTACCCAACTTTACCAACCTTTTGTTTCCCAATCCCAACTTCTTGTAACGTGTTGTTGGCATCAAATTCAAAATGGGCAACTATTTTTGAAAAGACAATAACATTTCTCACTTTCAACATTTGATTTGTTGTCTTTGTACTATTTTCAATGAAATATAGGGTTTAAATGATTTGCACAAAAAGAGGACAATTATTCACAAATCACAGCACTCAGCAGACCCGGCCCTCACTAACCAGCACAAATTCATCCACCTGTGAGCAACCGTCAGGCAGCAATCCAGCTTCTCTCATATCAGCTCTCTTGCTTTTACCCTCATATTATAACAATAGGTTAACAGAAAGAACATGATTCACGCATCCGAACACTTATGATAGTAAGCATGCAACTCAATGTGACATTGACAAATGACGGATAAATCAATAAAAAACGTGGCTGCCTTACGCTAATCATTTATCTTTACTCAAACATAAGCGACAGAGTGAACCGCCATCAGAATTCTAACATTTCAGCTCACAGACACTCCAGAATAAAAAGGCATCTGAGCTGGCACCTGTTTTTAAGATGTTTATAATACTAATTACTAAGTCATGGCCATGCATTAGAGCCCCATTCCCATGCCTTACTAAGTCATGGCCACGCATTACAGTCTCTTTCCCATGCCTTACTAAGTTGTAGCCATGCCTTAGAGTCTCATTCCCATGCCTTATGAAGTTGTGGCCCCGCATTAGAGTCTCGTTCCCATGCCTTACTAAGTCATGGCCACGCAGTATTTTTATTTTTCCAGGATGTCACCAGCGGGTGTTTTCTGTGTTGATTTTGAGGTTTGCTTTGGATCATAATCCTGATGGAAACCAAACTATGGCCCAGTTTAAGCTTCCTGGCTGAGGCCGTCAGGTTATAAGAATAATAATAATACATTATACTTATATAGCGCTTTCCAAGAACTCAAAGACGCTTATGTGTTTTCGAAATACAGAACAGTAAAGACAAACATGAGAACATGAAGCACAGTCATAACATCACAAGCAAAACATAGCAGGACTTGGCAAATGGCTGGTTTAGGATTGAGAACAGTTATAAGCAATAGAAAAGAGATAAGTTTTAAGTTTAGATTTAAAAGTGGAGACAGTGTTGGCCTGTTGAATATGTGAGGGAAGAGAGTTGCAGAGTCGGGGAGCCGGTCTAGAGAAAGCACGATCACCGTACCCATGTAGTTTGGAAGGAGGGACAGTGAGTAAACCAGCAGAGGAAGACCTGAGAGTGCGAGTTGGTTTGTAGGGAATAAGTAGATCAGAGAGGTAAGAAGGAGCAAGGTCATGTAGAGCTTTGTATGTGAGGAGAAGAATTTTGAATTGTATGCAGTATTTTACAGGAAGCCAGTGGAGATGTTGCAAGATGGGTGTAATATGCTGCATGGGTGCGGGTGAGAAGGCGAGCAGCAGAGTTCTGTACTATCTGGAGTTTGCATAAATGGGAGGAGTTAATACCAGTAAGTAGAGAGTTACAATAGTCCAGGCGACTAGAAATGAATGCATGAATAAGGGTTTCTGCAGCAGACTGAGAGAGTGATGATCGGATTTTTGCAATGTTACGGAGATGGAAAAAAGAGGTTTTAACTACAGAGTTGATGTGTGCACTGAATGAGAGAGTTGAGTCAAAGAGAACGCCCAGATTTTGAAACTACGTATTATGTGGCCAACAGGAAGCATGTATACAATAAACAAAAGAGGTCCAAGGACTAAGCCTTGAGGGACCCCTTGAGTAACCACAGACGTGTGAGAAGTATGGCCACCGAGGGTGACAAACTGTTTTCTGTCAGTCAGATATGACTTAAACCACTCCAGGACAGTGCCCCTAATGCCCAGATCATGCAGCCTTGATAGGAGGATTGAGTGGCTCACCGTATCAAAGGCTGCACTCAAGTCAAGTAGTAGAAGGATGCTAAGGGCACCAATATCGGCAGACACCAGGAGATCATTAGTGACCTTTATTAAGGCAGTTTCTGTGCTTTGAGAGGGACGAAATCCGGACTGGAATGGTTCAAAGAGGCAGTTAGCTGATGAGTAATACTGAAGTTGGCTAGCCACAGTTCGTTCAAGTACATTGGACAGGAAAGGGAGGTTAGAAATGGGGCGGTAATTACTGAGTTCTAGTGGATTAAGGCCAGGTTTTTTTAATTATGGGTGTGAAAGCAGCAATCTTGTAAGCAGAGGGTACCTGTCCATAGAGAAGCGAGTTATTGACAAGAATTGTGAGATGAGGGACCAGGGCAGAAAGACAAGCTTTAGTTAAGGTTGTCGGAAGGGGATTAAGAGAGCAAGTCGTAGTTTTAGAAGTAGTTATAGTGTTTATAATGGAAGAAGAATCAACAGTGTTAAAGGTAGAGAGATTAGAGGAGGGGGGGCTGGGGCTTATAGAATGGACAGTCAGGGAGGAAAGGGAAGAGGTATTATTAGTAGGGGATAGCAGAAAGCTGTTGATTCGTGCAATTTTTGATTCAAAGAAATGTAAAAATGAGTCACAGAGTGCAGGGGAGGCAGCCACAGAGATTTCAGGGGGTTTAAATAATTTAGTGACTGTTGAGAAAAGATAATGGTAGTTTGTGTGTGAATTATTAATGAGACCAGAGAGATGGGCTGACTTAGCTGAATGCAGGGCATCTCTATAAGCTAATAGGTGTTGTTTGTAAGCCTCCGCATGAACAGAGAGCTTTGTTTTCCTCAAAAGCCTTTCCAACCGGCGACCACTTTGCTTCATGGAACGGAGTTCATTGGTATACCAGGGAGAGGAGGTGACAAAGTTAACAGTTGCAGATTTCCAAGGTGCTCATGCATTAAGTGAGTCAGAAAGTGCAGCATTAAGCATAGTAGCATGGTCATCAGGAGAAGAAGGAGCAAAATCAGTAGGAAACACAGTAGAAACAGACTGGCTAAGAGTAAGGGGGTCGACAGACTGAATCTTACGGAATGAAATGGATCTTTGAGAAGAGCGGTGAGGCAGAGTCGTAGGAGCCGTAAACAAAATAAGCTTGTGATCAGACAATGGAAACAGTGATGGACGGAGGTTAAGAATAGATACAGAAGAAGAGTAGACTAGATCAAGGGTGTGACCTTTGTTATGGGTAGGAAAATCTACATGTTGTACGAGTTGGAAACAGTCGAGGAGCGAGGTGAAATCATTAGCAGTTTTGCAGTCTTGAGAGTCTCCATGAATATTAAAGTCACCGACTAGCAACAAGCGGGGAGAAATTGAGCAAACAAGTAGCTCAGATAGTTCGGAAAAGAAAGGAGGAATAGGCTTTGGAGGGCGATAGAGTAGTACTGCAAATATGGAATTGGGTAATTTCAAAGCAAAATATTCAAAAGAGGTTACAGCTGTAAGGCTAAGTTCAGCAATAATGATTTTACTGTTAAAAATTACAGCCAGACCTCCTTCTCGCCCAGAGGAACGGGGTTTACAAATGTATTTGAAATTAATGGGAGTCGCCTGGTTTAAAGCGAACAAGTCACCAGCTTGTTGCCAGGTTTCGGTTAGAAAGAGCATGTCAATCATATTATCGAGTACTCCTGCAGCACAGGCGATTTACTAGAAAGACAGCGGACATTCAAGAGTGCAAAAGAGGTGCCAGGAGTAGTAGGAGGCAGAGAGCGTAGGTTACATAAATTGGCAGTACGACATGCAGCATGAACGACTGTACAAGATGCAGTCCAGAATGAACATATATTAGTGCCTTCCGAGTAGTGGAAGGATCTGTTACGATACAGTCTCAAGCCGCGGTGGACATAACGACGTCGGGACAATATACCTGCTTTACAGACAGATACAGTAGCCGCTTTAGAGAGGCAATTGGAATTATTGAATCTATGTAGCTCAGAAGGAGTATAGCACATAAATCTTGAACTAACCAGAAACAAACACAGAGAATATAAAGGACTAATGGCTAACAGCAGTGCCATGGAGGTTAACAGCTGCATTATTAAATAGGAGAGGTTTATACACAAAATTAACCAGCGAAATTAAAAGTGATCACTTAGCAAGTCATCAGCGGTGAACGCAGCTTACTGTCAGTCGAGGAGCAGCATAGCGCAGCGGCGGTGAAGGCCACAGCAGTCAGCTCAGGAGCAGAGTAGCGCAGCGGCGGTGAAGGCCACAGCAGTCAGCTCAGGAGCAGAGTAGCACAGCGGCGGTGGAGGCCACAGCAGTCAGCTCAGGAGCACAGTAGGGCAGCGGCGGTGAAGGCCACAGCAGTCAGCTCAGGAGCAGAGTAGCGCGGCGGAGGCCAAAGGAGTCAGCCGAAGAGCAGAGTAGTGCAGCGGTGGTGAAGGCCGCAGCAGTCAGCCGAGGAGCAGAGTAGCACAGCGGCAGTGAATGTCGCACAGACAATCGGGAGTGGAAAACAGCTAGCAACAGTAAAAATAGCACTTGCAGCGATTCAAAAACAGCTAACCAAAACATAAACACTAAACGCAGAGACATGGGGAGAAGCGGCAATCGAACAGACAGACGCCAGCGATACTCTCACCCGGAACTGACGTCAGACACGTACGGAGATACAGAGATTTCTCCAGATTCTCGGAATCTTTTAACGATATTATGTACCGTAGATGATGAAAAGCAAAAGTACTTTGCTATTTTGTGTTGAGAAACGTTATTCTTGAATTGTTGCACAGTCTTTCATAGAGTGGTGAACCCCTCCTCATCTTTACCTCTGAAAGACTCAGCCTCTCTGGGATGCTCTTTTATACCCAATCATGTTACTGACCTGTAGCCAATCAACCACCTGGTGTTTTTTTAGCATTACACAACTTTACCAGCCTTTTGTTGACCTGTCCCAACTTTTTTGGAGCGTGTTGTTGGCATCAAATTTAAAATGGGCATATATTTTTCAAAAAACAATAAAATTTCTCACTTTCAACATTTGATTTGTTGTCTTTGTACTATTTTCAATTAAATGTGGGGTTTAAATGATTTGCACAAAAAGAGGAAAATGATTCACAAATCACAGCACTCAGCAGACCCGGCCCTCACTTACCAGCACAAATTCATCCACCTGTGAGCAACCGTCAGGCAGCAATCCAGCTTCTCTCATATCAGCTCTCTTGCTTTTACCCTCATATTATAACAATAGGTGAACAGAAAGAACTTGATTCACGCATCCGAACACTTATGATAGTAAGCATGCAACTCAATGTGACATTGAAAAATGACTCAATGAAAAACGTGGCTGCCTTACGCTAATCATTTATCTTTACTCAAACATAAGCGACAGAGTGAACCACCATCAGAATTCTAACATTTCAGCTCACAGACACTCCAGAATAACAATTTCTGGCACTTGTTTTTAAGATGTTTATAATAAAAAATTAATTAAATTTAGGAGGCGCTGAGTGAATTTTTTCTCATAAATTAGCCAAATTCATAAAGTTATCAAAATTCTTTTAGTATTTACCTGTCAAATAATGGCACATCTGAGTAAATAACAACATATGGCATGTGTGACTCTCATTTAAATACTTTAAAACTGTAACTGTAATTGTCCAAATTGCCAAAAACAATTAAAGCATATGATTATAGCTGAGGTCACTAATAGGCTCACCGTGGTCTGAGTCCAGACCCAGACTCTGTCCTACGCGGACCTGGACCTATAACCTCTGGAAACTCACAGACCAATCGCATGCATTGTAAATAGGTCTGTGTATTACAATGAGCAATACGACTCGAATGACCAACGCACACTGAGGGAAGGGACAAGGAGATCCTCACTGTTCTTTTGCACTTGTTTAGACATGAGCCCTCGCTATGTGTGCTTGTTGGTATGTGCCGTTAGCACATAGCGAAAATCGTGACTGTGTCCCAAAGCTGTGTACCAGGATGGGGCAGAGTTTGAGAACTGTTGTATAGAGGGATGCTTCTTAGAGTTCTTACTTTCGTTTCTTCAGAACTCATGATAACTTTCTTTTCTCTGCAATTCTGCCGTTCATACGCATGTGGTCTGTTTTAGTGCACTTCCTCACACACCCAGAGTAGAACATGTACAGGAGTGCAGGTTCATTCTGCAGTCCTCTTTTGTTCCAACCGTTGTTTTGTAAAGCTGTATATTTGGGCTCTAAATCAGTGTAGAGGAAACATTAGAGATTAGACCAGAGCAACACTTATATAGAAAGACTTTGCATTTCTTATTGAAAACTGATATTTTAGAGGGAAAAATCTTGTGTTGGAGGTAGGGGTTGGATTGAGGGTATGGTGACTAATTAGAGAACATATTGCAAGTCTAATCTGTACAGGGATTATTTCAGTTTATTTACCTTATTTACCTACACTCCATGACTGTCACTCAAAATAAGCCAGATTTATTAAAAAGTCCTGCAAACACCTTCTCAGTGCCCATATTAACCTTGAGCAGAATCAACCGACCGGACAATCTGAGTGTATTTTTTAATGGTTACACTGCTCACCTGTTGAAGTGTTAGTTTACTGTGGCTTTATAAAGGGAATTTGGTTTCAGTATCCAGTTTATATAAGAGTACAATGTCGGCACCCCCAGTAAACAGAATGAGCTGTATAAACATGTCCTTCTGATCTTTCATTCAGAATATTAACAACAATCTAAACTTTATTTGAAATGCAATGATTGAAGAAAAAAAAACTAAATCTTATTAAGAAATAAATATGTTTGTTAAATCTGTGTGCCACAATTGTTGAGTCTTCTCCTATAATGCTTAGTGAGACTGGAGAACACATGGCAAGTGATCTAAGACCATTCCAACTGAATCTCTCCAGGTCCTTCAGTTTCAGAGGTCCACACTGTGGGGTCCTCTTCAGCACATCCCACAGGTTTACTATGGGGTTTAGGTCAGCAGACTGGGGTTGCCAAGGCAGAACCATAATTCTGTGGTCGGTGAACCATTTTTATACTGAGCCCCACTGGTGACATCCTGTACAAATAAAAATACTGCATGGCCACAACTTAGTAAGGCATCGGAATGACATAATTAAGTCATGGCCATGGCTTAGTTAAGCGTGGAAACCAGATCATGCCTTACTAAGTCATGGCCACGCATTAGAGTCTCGTTCCCATGCCTTACTAAGTCATGGCCACGCAGTATTTTTATTTTTCCAGGATGTCACCAGCGGGGCTCTGTATTTAATGTTTTGGGTTTGCTTTGGATCATAATCCTGATGGAAACCAAACTATGGCCCAGTTTAAGCTCTGCTGAGGCCGTCAGTTGCACTAGAGTCTCGTCCCATGCCTACTAAGTCATGCACGCAGTATTTTTATTTTTCCAGGATGTCACCAGCGGGGCTCTGTATTTAATGTTTTGGGTTTGCTTTGGATCATAATCCTGATGGAAACCAAACTATGGCCCAGTTTAAGCTTCCTGGCTGAGGCCGTCAGGTTATGATGTTATTTCTGAGAAACATAAGTAAACAAAGAATCATCAATGCCTGGGAATTCTGGTGGATCAGTTTGTGGTATGTAGAATAGACTGTAAACAAGTTTTGTTGTAGTTAGCCTAGCTACATTACATGCTAGCTAGCATGAATAACGTTACTGACTTTGGATTCTGTTTAATGTTGAATGAACCTGTTTGTGACATGTAATGGGGAATTTCTCATAACACTGGAGCTGCCTCTGAAATATCTCTGTTTGGAGGGCCATGTAGCCCTAATGCTTCACCCCACCCCTCTCAAGAAAAATCAAGACCCCAAACCTAGGCATGAACAGCAAAATGGAGGGGTAGGGCTAAGTGATTGACCATAAATCTACGTTCATGCAGACTAAAATGTTCTGTGTTTGTAATGCATCCAGCACACTGGTAATGCCTCTATGAAGAGGTCGTCAGGTTGGAAATGTATGTTGACCTTTTGCACAATTTCACATCAGATTCCTGTTTTATAAATGATGAATTAATGTGAATTTTCAAACACGATAACCGGATGTAAGAATGTTTTATACATTATAAATGAGGCTGTTGGGTTTATGGAAGGCTGCTTTGGTCTTGTGTGAAAAGTGGAAAAATACAACAGAAGTACAACCAGAACAGCTGTTATTGCCACCAGATGCTGTTTTCAAGCTAAAACATAGATACAAAGTAGGAAAACAACTAGGCTAGCAATGATAGCTGGGGGTCACAGACCATTAGCATTTGCCTGTTTTAGTCCATGTACATTTCGAGCTGCATGTCACCCAGTGTTAAGTTTCATTTCATATAAAATAATCCTGTAATGATGTGAAATGAAAGTGAGTCAGTACAGCCTCCAAGAAGCCACACCCCCTTAAATAAATGTATATCTGACCCAGCCCTGCTTTCATCACATTTCAAACTCTCACATCCACCAACAATGAGGCTGCAAGTCACACTGCTGTTCGTCTGTGTGCTTTTCCCAAAAGGTATGGAACTAAACTCACAGTACAGTGAGAAAACTTTTAGATGCATTTAATTCATTTGAATATATTAAGTTTTTAATCAGTTTAGCCTCTACAATGGATTATTAATGAGTATCTTAAATTGGATCTTCTGATCAGTTTGATATTTTTATAGCAGTTATTCATAGTTAAAGTGTGAGGATGTCAGTGAATGAGGCTTGAATGCCTCTTGAAATTTAAGGTAATTTATGAAACATCTATGTTTTGTGGTAAAATTAAGCAAAACAGTGAGTAGTTCATACTGGAGGTTCATCAACTTTGTCTCTATGCACTGAATCTGTTTCTCATGCTGGATTCTCTCTGTCCTCCAGCGCTGACACTGAAGTGTTATGAGTGTATATAAGGGGTGTCTGGACAATGCACCCAGACAGATTGTCCAGATCAGTGTACAAGCATGACCACTACTGTGTACGCAGGTAAGAATGACCTGAAATATAAAATTAATTGAGTGACGATCAGTCATGCATATGTGATATGTATTATAGATTGATATTTCTGGCTATGTATGTATGTATAATGCACACTCCTGTACTAAACAAACAAACAAATAAATGACACAACATTAAGCAACAACATTAATCATTAGCAAGAATCAAACAAATAGATAAAGTTAATATGGGGGAGCTTTTCCCTTTTTTGTAAAATCCTTTTAATGACGGAGTCAATATTGTTCCACTCAGCACTGACGGCTTTAAACAGTTGAAAAACATTGCTGAGCTGGTTTGTGTTTAATATAAGACCAAATATTCTCTACAGGGTTTAAATCTGGACTCTGATCAGCCCAAAACCATCAGTAAAACCATGAGTATTTTGGATTTGGCCAATTTCTTTGCACAGGTGTGTACTTATAACTACACATTACATTAAAGCATGTGCTGTGTTCACTAGGTGGTGTACAAACAGCAGAAGTTAATATGAAGGGCTGTGCAGCAGCTGGACAGTGTGTCTCTGGAAGCCTAAACCTGGGACTTGTGAAAACGTCTCTCAACTCAAAATGCTGCAGCACTGATCTCTGTAACAGCAACAAAGCTCCAGGTAAAGCCAAACACTCTGAAAACTGTACAAAGGACGCTGATTATGAAGGTCCTCATTTATTCTGTCTCAGTCAAACAGCCCATTTCAGCTAAAGCTGATGTAACAATCAGTAGTGCTGAGACTTCATTATCAGGATGTCCTGTAAGGAGTAGCTCTGGGTTTAGTGTGTTGTGTGTTGTAATGCAGTGAACTGCAGTAACGATGACGCTAAACCTCTGTACTGAACTGTTTCTCTCTAAAGCTTTGCCAAAAGGCTCTCCAAATGGGAGGAAGTGTTACGCCTGTGCTGATGACGACTGCTTCAGAACCGTGGACTGTGAGGGAGATGAAGATCAGTGCATCAGCGGCAGAGGTGAAAAATCTGAAAAATGCACATCTGTAGCTCTAAAATGTGATCTTACATGTTTGGTGTAAAATAAGAATGCTCAGTGATGCACTGCAAGAAAGTGCCTTTAATCTGATTTTGTGGTTTATCTGTTTAAATATATTCATCTGTCTAACGTCGCTCTCCCTCTGACCTGTATTCACAGTTAGTGTTGGTGGTGCTCAAATGAAAATGAAAGGATGTGCGAGCAGAAGTTTCTGTACTGCGGACGCATCGAGCATGAAGGCAACTGGAGTCACTGGAAGTGTGACCTGCTGTGAGGGGAACCTCTGTAACGGTGCTGAGGGGGTTAAGCTGAGTCTTCTCATCATGCTGGTTCCTCTGATCTCCTCCATCCTCTTCATCTGAACACCTTTTTACCATTTTTCTTTTCTGCCTTTAAGACTAGCAGAGCTGTGTATTGTAAGGTGTCCAAATACAGAGTCTGAATTGTAATGAAGGTTTTGTTACCAAAATAACCTGAATAAACAGAGTGCCGACTGTAAGTGGTCCAGTGTATTTATACATTTAGGAGCAGAAAAGGAAACAGAGGCAGGGAACAAAGCTACAGTTTATGTGTTTGTTTGTTTGTGTTAGTATGTAGTGCATGAGAGTTTTATAATCTTCACTGCTGTGGTGACCAGCGGTTGATCAGGCTTGAAAGCCTCAAATATCAGCTTTGTGACGCATTAGAATGTTACCAAACCAAATAACATGAATGAAGAAGTTCAGCTTTCAGCAATGAGCATTTCACATTGTGCAGACTGTCATTTTTTAGATGGATGTGAATGGTTACGTTTGGTAAACATGATGTAAGAGACTACAAATTCTGTTGAAGACAGTGAACATGAGCTATTTTGCAGTGGGAAATGGAAACTAAAATTTGAAGTGAGTAAATTTGAACATTTTTGCATTTAGTCACTTTTTGTCTGGGAAGTAAAATGTGAGCACAAAGCTTTTACATGTAGGACCCTGAAACCATTTAGAACCTACTTCTTTAGTCCTATATTTAGTAATGAGTTTTCTTTCTGTCAGGTGCAGATGTGGAAGTTTGTGAACATAGACAGTCATGATCAACTGATATGCTGGTGCTTATATTTTAAATATATAAATGATGATGTGCCATAAACAGTGCATTTTCAGTGAATAAGCTTTTGCCAAATAGGTACAGATGCAAACGTAAGAAATAACATGCTGTAGGAATATTTTATACTTTATAATACTTTATCTTTAATTTAACAAGTCACTAAGAACATACTGTAGAGTGGGGGTGCACAGAAGAAGGTTATACAGGGAAACACAAATGAGCAATAAAGTGACAATGAAAAAATGCAAGAAAACCAGAAAAAAAAAGTCACGGCAACACAACAGCAACAGATACATCATAGGCCTAAAATGATCAATTAACAGAAGCAGGTTTGTGTGACGAAAAAAATATGTTATATAACTTATTAAAATTTGAGATAAATGAGAAAAGAGGTGAATGTTTTCTTGTAGTGTGTTCCAATCGTGTGCTGCTCAGACTGAAATGAGGAGAGAAGAGTCTGTTGTAGGGACTTTTAATTGACTGTGAAGGGAATACTTGGTGTTATACTTATCAGACACTGGCTGTATCAAGGTTTGTAAACAGGGTGGCATCCAGCCAATGAGAGTATCAATCAATGTAAATCAGTCTAAACCAAAGTAAAGAGAGCAGCGCTGTGGGATATTTGTAAGAAAACAGACAGCAGAATATAAAAGAACATCAAGCGTCTGAAGTGCAGCTTTGCATGCCAGTCAGTGAGCTGCATCAGCATAAACACTCAGAGGATGAAGAGTCTATTGAGACAGAGTGAGTGAAAAGTGGAAGAGGTACAATTTCTATATAGATACTGAGCCTGACCTTCACTTTACTTGTTACCACATAAAGTAATATTTTAGGTTGAATATATATATATATAGAAAACAGAACACATTGCACTTATAGTCGCATAGAGGAGTTTTTTCAACACTATATCCAAATGATGCAGATTTCCTGTTTATGTACGTTTAGCTTTATGTCTGTCTGCGAGGAGAAAAGCAAATGTATGACAGCAATGAGGGACACGCAGACTAAAGTTGAAAAAAATAGCTACCCCCAGTATGGATACATGGTTTGGGGAGACTGGTTATGGTTGTAACACAGGGAGAGTTGTAACGCCACCAATTCAACCAATCAGGGTTGATTGGTTAGACAGGAGTCATATGATCATTTCAGTCTTTATCCACTCTCCTTCCCAATCCCACATGGCTGGTGTCAAGTCTGGACACGGGCACATGCAGATTCTACAGAGAAATATAGATTTTTTGACCAAGAGTATATTATGGTTTGTACACTGTTAGTATATTATTGCAGATAAAAAAATAAATAAATAAATAAATAAAAATAGTCTGGCTGACTATTTGACCCAGGCAGCAAAGCTGACTCCATGTAGGAAAGCGTACAACAGGTCAGCCACTGGAGACCAGAGTAGAATTGAATATTAGCTTAGGTGCCAAACAAAACAAAAAAAGAATGCTCGTATCGACGTACTCAGGTTTTCCATTCCACACTGAGATGAGTAACATTGTTCTGGATTGTTCTTTTATAGCATGGTGTGGCAACTGTTTTTGCTTCTTTTGTCTAATTCTTACAACATTTATCAGCTGACACATTGCTCAGAAGTGTGTGGTATGTGGTTCGTGGTGTGTTCTGTGGGGTATGTAGGTTTTTTATGTGCACAGGAACATTTTGTCTTACTTCTTTCGCACGCTAACCACAAGACTCCCAAACTAGGGCCGGATGTCAAAGTCTCAGGCCAAACCTTCTGAATTTCATGCTTTACAAAGAATCTCTGGCTCAAGACTAACTTTAAAAATATATCAGTACATACAGTGGGGTCCAAAGGTATGAGACCACTTTGAAAATCTTCAATTGTTTTCATTAAAACCTGGAAATAAACAACAGAAATTTTAGAATTTTGAAAAAAATTAAAAGCATTTAAAAATTAAAACCAAACGAAAAGTAAATGTTAAAAATTCTGCACTGTTTCTAACGACACTAAATTCATTACACTGACCACGTTTGTAAAAAAAAAAGTCCAGTTTTTAGTTTTATCGCTTCCTTTGTAGCTCCTGTTCAGACAACTCTCATGTGGATTTGATCTGCGCACATTTTATGTGCTTTGTGCAGAGTTATGGTACATTTCATAATTTATCTTTTTTCAGCATCTTACACTGAAATAAATAAAAAATTGTGCACAAAAATGTGCAGGATATGCCATATTTGTGTAACAACAAATAATTAGTCAAAAATGAGCAAGAATTAACCAAACAGATAAAGTAAGTTAATATGGGGGAGCTTTTCTCTTTGATTTCATTAAATGTTGACGTTCATAAGTCATTTTACTTAAGGAGTCAATGTTGTCAGCATTGACGGCTTCAAACAGTTGAGAATCATTGCTGAGCTGGTTTGTGTTTAATGTGAGACCAAATATTCTCTACAGGGTTTAAATCTGGACTCTGATCAGCCCAAAACCACCAGTAAAAACCAGCTGTATTTTGCACAGGTGTTTGAAACTGCACATTTCATAGTGTTCACTAGGTGGTCTTTGGAAGTTTGGAAGCCATTTTTATTCATTTTTGTAAAATCTTGTGTTTCTGAACTTGAGTGATATGTTAATGTTCAATCTTCATACTGAGAGTTAAAGCAGAGCTGTTTAACTCATATTCAACCATATTTATTTGGACAAAGGACCACAGTGGAACTTCTTTTCCACCACGCGTAACATAAACTCACTCTAGCCTTAACTGTATTTCCTCGACTACCATCTGATCATTTCTCATTAGCATCACTCAAGCTTTGCTTTGTGACCGAAATGAAGAACAGAGACAGAAACTGAAGCTGAAAACCAAAAGTCATATAAAAACCATATAATTTGCTGTTTTATTTATGCTTTTCTATAATGCTGATGATTCTTCAGTGGTAATAATCACTATGCTGGGAAAGAAACAGAGAACTAGAGGCCGAATTTAATTTTAAACAGCTTCCCAAATAACAATGAATATTAAAGTTAAAATACATAGAATCATAAAAATATAAAATCTCAACATTATCTAAATCTAAATTTCAGAGTCTCTGCTATAATGATGGAAAACATTGCAGGATATATATAGAAAAAGAAAAGACAATAGCAAACAAAGTAAGATACATATTTTTTTTTTCCATTCTTTTTTTCCAACACCAGCCGTTCTCTCTTTCGAGGCTTTCGGTTACAGGTGGCTGTGGCATCGCCGGGGTTTAGAGCTCACACTCTTGCGGTAAAGGCTAAGAAAGTTGCACCACTTTTGTTAACTGAACAAAGAGTTTGAAAAATGTTGGATTTACATGTAACATTTAAAACACATGAAATTCTGTCCTTAGAATTATTTAAATATTCATGATTTGCATGTTAATGTAGATGTAGTTTTAATGTATTGTGGCTTACCTTACTGAACATCACTGAACATTACTGAACATCAAATAGTAAGTTAATGAAACAGAGGCTCCTGAGTTCACTCCACCATCAGGAGATCAAACCCCAGCGATGCTCTAAACCTCTATATCTGCACAAGAGGAGGAAAGTCCTTTTATGTGCTCTGTGCAGAGTTACGGCACATTTTATAATTTATCTTTTTTTCAGCATCTTACACTCAAATAAATAAAAATTTTGTGCACAAAAATGTGCAGAATATGCCATATTTAAGTGTACAACAAATCATTAGTCAAAAATGATTTAATATGGGGGAGCTTTTCTCTTTGATTTCATTAAGTGTTGAAGTTCATAAGTCATTTTACTGAAGGAGTCAATGATGTCAGCATTGACGGCTTCAAACAGTTGAGAATCATTGCCGAGCTGGTTTGTGTTTAATGTGAGACCAAATATTCTCTACAGGGTTTAAATCTGGACTCTGGTCAGCCCAAAACCACCAGTAAAAACCAGCTGTATTTTGCACAGGTGTTTACTTATAACTGCACATTACATTAAGCATGTGCTGTGTTCACTAGGTGGTCTACAAATAGGAGAAGTTAACGTGAAGAGCTGTGCACTACCTGAAAAGTGTGTCAGTGGCTGTGTTTACATGCAAAGATTTTTGCCCATCCGATTGAATACATTCCGATTACAGATTCAGACTGAGGTGTTTTTGCTCACTCTACTCAACAATCTGATAGAAAATCCTCGTTTACATGCTATCTACAAGTAGTCCGATCCAAAATGATGCGCATGCGTGGAGAACATACAGCAAACATTACCATGACAGCGAACATCACGTGAGTCCAGTCAGAGTGAGAAGAGTTTTCAGCTGGCACGCTTGTGTTTTTAATTGCTTTAAAAATACGTCAGACTCAGAAAAATGTACTTCACATGTACTGATTAAAGAAGGGCAAGATGAAGACGTCGTGTTCTGAGACACTTAGACTTTCCGATTGGGAATGTAATCAGATACAGGCGTTTAAACGGTTATTATT